AAACGAGAGAGAGAGAGAGAGAGAGAGAGAGAGAGAGAGAGAGAGAGAGAGAGAGAGAGAGAAGAGAGTTTCACAGCAGAGAGAATCCCTTGCTTAAACACAGCACTTTGTCTCGTGCGCGTTTGGCCCCGTGAATAAATGCGACTCCCCGGATATTTTAATCCCGGGGATGGCTGTGATTTATACTGTTCGCGACTGCCGCGCCCTTCTGTGTCCATATTTCAATCGTTCGGTCTAAATGCGCCCCGTAGCCCGTTGCTCGGTTATCCGATGACGTATCCAACACGTACGTATCGTCAGAGCAGCGCAGAAAAGGACGTAGCTGTAGGTTGCTCCTCGATTAACCCTTTTATACCTGTACTTTATATATATACATGTAGGGTGAGGCTGATGGGAAAAGTGGGAGGGCGAGGGGTTGATAGCACGGCGGTCGATCAAAACGGACGAATAGAAATTCAAAACGAGCGATTGACGATTAGCGACCTCGTTAATACTTACCGTATATATATATATATATACATATATACATATATCATTTGTGAAACCGTGTAGTAACAGAATTTACTACTCTGTAGTTAATTTCTGAAGAAGTCGAAGCACAAGCCCTGGTGATTTTTTCTTTCATGTTCTCTGCAGTGGTTGGTCGTTCATGATAGACTTCGAAATTAGAAATTAACTACAGAGTAGTAAATTCTGTTACTACACGGTTTCACAAATGTATCGCAATGCAAGGGAGTCATTTTGAACATTTATCGTAACAGAAATAAAGCCAAATCTCTAACACGTCGAATTAGTTTTAATTTCATATTTCTGGGTTGGAGGTCATTTTGAAGGTCATACTATGTTACATGGTTGGATTCGTTTCGATGCCGGCTACAATGTGCAAGGAGAAAAAATGTGCCATTCCATTTAAAAAAACTCTGATAACCTTGAAAAAACTGGTAAAAAATGAAATAAACAAAAATATTATGATAACCATGGGCGCCCTTCCGAATCATTTAAATTCCGATATTTGCGAACTCCGTATCT